GTGTCTCCTCCCGCATATCCTTTGCTCCTGGGTGCTTCTTGGATTCAATTCGAATGCCTCATCCCTTCCTTTCAAGCACCATATGACCCTTCTCAGCTACCCACTCCCAGGCTCATGGTAGAGGTGATATATTTATTAGACCAACAAGACTTTTGCAAATTTTTTTTTTTTTTTTTGCAAAAATCTTGTTGGTCTAATCAAAGATATCACCTCTACCAGGAGCCCAGATTGCTTGTTCCTCTAGACCAATACGATGACAACCTGGATACCCTTCTCAGCTACCCAGCTTTTGTGCTGTGCCCTCTGCTAACTCTCTTTGCTTCACATCTTCCACCCTCTGTCCCATACCATTCCCAATCTAGTGTCCCATGGGGATGGGTGAAGCATTTATTCAAGCAAATTTGCATTTTTCCTTAGTTTTGAAGGATCTATAGAAGGTAGGGCAAATCTGCACCTTATAGTCTAGGTGTATATATGTGTGTATATATAATGCAGACAAGGTTCTTTGGGTAAATCTAATATCTTTCATTAGACCAACTCAAATAGCTGGAAAGCCTCTTTTTTCCAACTATTTGAGTTGGTCTAATAAAAGATATCAGATTTACCCAAAGAACTTTGTCTGCCTATGTCCTTAGACCAACACGGCTACAACCTACACCCCTGTGTGTGTATGTGTGTGTGTATGTATGTATATATATATGTATGTGTATATATATATATATATATACACACACACACACACCCCCTATATATATATAATGCAAACTTTTATGACCTGAAGCTCACTTCCTCAGAGGTTGCAAAATGACATTTGAAGGGCCTGTAAACAGCCTTGGAAACGTATAGATTTATTAATCCTAAATAAATGTAGTCGTTACTCAAAAGTGCTCAACTCATCCTTTTGGCCAACCCGTTGGCCATCTCAGGACTAGCAGCAGGTTCCTCGCTTGGGTAGCGTTGTTCAGTAGTCATTATTTGCTGTCGTATGTTATTATTCCAGGTATCAGAATGGTCCTCAAAGTCATGTGGAGGTATTTCTGCTTTCTGACTGTGTGCCTGGCACTTTGAGGTCCCTCTGGTAGATGGAAGAGCTTTTAAGGGAGCTGTGCGAGGGTCTGAGGTGGAAATGCTCACCCAGACACCTGTTTTAAGAGGTGTTTGTTCTTGTGAACCAACCATTATTCATATCTGCCAAGACTGGGGAGGAAGCTCTTGGTTGCTATTCAAATCAAAGCCCGGGCATAGTTTTTTCAGGGTTCACCTGCCTCTTATTGATAGGTGCGGTACTTTAGGCTTGGGGGCTGTGAGCATTTCAGCATGCGCTGAGAAAAGCGAAGGACCCTGGTGTAGTGAATCAGAAGACCTGGCTCGAATCTCTGGAAGCGCCCCCGGTTTTGCACATGATGTGGGCAAGGCTCTGAATCCCCCATGCTCAGCTCCTGGCTTGCAAAAGGCGGACTCTTCTGTCTGCCTTGTCTTGCAAATGCTTTGGCACGGAGACCGGAGCGGTTTTGCGCAGGGCCGTGGCTCACCTGTTGGAGGAAAGCCCCGGCTGTGCATGTTAAGTGGGCATCCCAGGGGAGTCGGCGATGCCCCCAATTAACCTTTGCATAATTATCAATAGATCAAAGCAGTCTGGCCCCAGGGGAGGTGGCCCCAGCAGCTGCCTGGGCAGTAGCCGTCTTTCCCTTTGCAGTGACTGATTGCTTCTCTTGTTGGGCCCAGCCCTCGCCTCCAGGACTGTTGTCTCTGGGTCTAGATGCAGAGCAGGGAACAGCCCGGAGGCATTTAGAAATAAATACAGACATGTAAAGCACCCAACCTCTGGGGAGCAAAATCTGGGGGCCGCCCGGGCTTCCCACAGCCCCTGGGACCAGGAATGAGTGTTCCCATTTCTAAAACCAGCAAGCACAGGGCTGAGGGGGAGCAGCTACCTTAGTTTTGGTGCATGCCAGAGCCCGCAGGGCCAGAAGCAGCATAGCCACATTGCTCTGTCATTAGAGGATGTTGTGTCCAAACTGGAGACCTCCAGAATGACGGGAGCTAGTGACACAATGACATCTCCAGAGCCGAGGGAAGAAAACCTGAGACAGCCTGTTCCAAACTATCTGGGTTTGGCTGCTACAATTAACTGTACCACTTAATGAACATGTTGGAGGTGTAGTCCACTGCCCCATTCCTTCACTTGATGTGATATAGCCATTAGCTTATAGCCATTATCGTCTCCACCTCCTGCTGCTGCAGGACAGAGCAGACAGGGCATCTGTCATTTCCCACTGAAGCCCCCAAAATATTCTTTCAAACCCGTTGGGGGCAATTTTATACATTGAAGCAAAAAAAAAAAAAAAAGGGTGTGAAATTGGTTGGTTTTAAAACTTTGCAGATCACCTTTGCCAGCGAGCAAACCAAGTGCAGTGTGTGGCTGGTGTTTCTTTGTCTCTTTAAAAAACAGCCTGGGGTCTTGCAGGGTCTAGATTGCACGTGCATTGTCTCGGCGCTGATAAAAAAAAAAAGCTAAATGAGTCCAATTAAAAATTCTTTGAGTACGGTATAATATACAAAATTGCAGCTTGCGGCGGGTGGGGGAAAGCTGGCCGGATGCTTGGAGGAGTACCTGAGGACCGGTCTGATTGGGAAATGTTAAACAGCCTTTCTTAGAGGCCGGCTCCATGCGTCATGTTAGTATAGGGAACAAACTTTGTCCTCCGCGGGAGAATGATCATGATTTCACATATATATTGTCTGAGCTCACTGGTCAGGAGCCAGGCAGAGACCACCAACGTTTTAGCCCCAAACAGCCTTTTTCAAAGGCAAAAATGTTGGTGGATTCTCAGCGCGGTGATTATAGAGGATTATTCTGAGGTTCTCAGAACTATCTGAAAACCAATCTTTCTAAGTTATTTGTGAATAGCTATTGAATGGATAATTTCCATACCCATTATCAAAATGATGTGCCGGCGGTGAAATTTAGCTGCATTGTATTTGATCAGTAATTGGTGAAATGTTTTCCTAGGGTTAAAAGTAGAGTCGACAACTGCTCGGTGTAAGGATTTACAAGGTGTTTAGATACATTTTTATTTATTCAATTGCTTTAAGTTATCCAAATACTTTGATAGTGTAGAGGAAGCTAATGGGATTTATCTACAGTATTTGAAGATGGGCTGAAAGGGCTTTTACCTTGTAAGACCTGAGTTCAGTTTTGCAGGGCTTGGGTTAACTACCTAGCGCTTAATACAGGGAGCTCTACTGCGAACGAACCATTTTTGACCCAGTGAAACAAGCCAAGATCCCCAAAATGGATATTCGAGGCTCAGAAGGAAACGAGTATTATAGAACAACGAGCAAAGAAAAATATTGGGAAAAGGAGCAAAAAAAGGCCGCTTGGGTTTTGATTTTTCTTTGAATGGCTAGTGAAGTTTTTAAGCTGGTTTCCTTCTCTCTGTCTGTCTTGGAAATGAGAGGTTTATATGGGAAACTTTCAATTTAAACAAGCAGAAGATTAGCTCAAGTCAAGCATGACAATGCCATCTGAAAGGGAGAGGAAACACTATCCCTATTTCAAGGTGCACTGCAAAGACAAACTGCAAATGGATTTAAGTGCTGGTTTCTGTCAGCATGTTCCCACTAAGCGTGCTGTGTGTCTATATTAGTTGCAGAAATAGGTCGTGGAGATGGTTTATACTGGAGTTTAAATGAGTTCTGGGGGGGTTTTTTTTGCCTTTGTGATGGATGGATGGATGGTTTGAAATCCAGTGGGCTGGAGCCTCACAAGGTCCTGCCAAGATGCCCAGGGAGTAACTAGCTGTTTTTGGATCATCTCACACCTGAAACGCCGCAGAACCCCAAACCTATTCCCTGGGGGATGCTTGGAGCTGGACCCACTATTATTTTTATCCGCAGTCAAACCTACTGCATAGCGAAAAGGGCAGAAAAGCATGAAAGCAGGGGAAGGAGAGAAAGATCAAAGGAGAGCAGTAAGGAAAACAGGCTTTTATTCAGGGTGCGGCAGGCTCTCTCTGTTGGCTTCCCAGATTCCCCTTCCAACCCACCATAAATAAAGCAGTTGGCATGTGACATGCGATGTGGGATTGATCTGCGCTGGCATATGCTATGCATATTTCCCGTGAAGCTATTTGAGCTCATCCTTGCTAAATTGCTAGATGGCAGCCAGCTCCGGGGAGCACCAGGGCTGCGCGACAAGGCTCTTCCTAGCAGCAGAAAGCATCCAGCATCTGCAGCTTCAGAGAGACCCAAAGCATATGCAGTCCCACATGTTGGGGAGATGCAAATACTTAATTTTGTCTCCCTTAATATCAACCTTTTTGCAGGATCTGCTCTCACAGGTGCCCACCCGACAGAGCCAACTGCCTGGCTACCCACCATTGCATTTTTCATCTGAAATTATCTCACGTTTGGGTCTATAAAAGTCAGTTTTGGATCAGACCCACTGTCCCTCTCATTCCTGGGTGCTTCGGAGGAAAGTTTAAGCTCCAGTAGGAGATGAGTTGTCTCACTCGGTTATCCTCATCCTGATTCCTTGCTGTTGCAGATTGAAGCACAAGGTCTGATCTCCCTTCTAGGATGTCCTGTCATTAATTAGGGCACTTCAGGGCATGCTGCTCTTCATGTTGTTATTCAAGAGGGAGCAAGATGAATCTAGCCTGGGGCAATTTCCCTCAGATCGGCTTTGAATTCCCCACTTTCCAACTCCACTGCTTCTTTCAGGGACAACCGAAGTCGTGCCCCCCACCAGCTCCTCTAGACATTGCTGTCCTTTCTCTCCCTGTCCCTCTTCTTCATCGGCTGGCCAAGGCAAGTTATCCGGATGGTTTTGGGATCTCTTCCAATGTAGCAGGGAAGATGCTTTTACCCCATGCCAGGGCTACATCAGCCAGCGATATCAGCAGCTACACCCTGCAATCAAGGGACTGAGACATAAATCTGACCGTCTTCCCCAGCCCAGCTGGACGGCGGGCTCCTTGGCTATCCATAAGGATCAGGAATGAATGGGATCTAGTGAAGGCTCCCAACTTATTTGGTTTCTGGGGGTGTCATGTCTACTAAGCATCCCACCGCACCTCCCTGGCTTGGACCTTGGCACCCAAAATCCTCCAAGTACGCAGCAGGCCTGGATCTGTGCAGTATCCGAGGAGACTTAGGAGCCTTCTTGCCGGATCAGCTAGTCTCACCCCAACGGACCGAATGGGAATTTAGCTGGCTTGTGCACGCAGTTGTGCATGCAGTCTAGCACAGCAGTTGTTTTAGTCTATAGACACCAATATATTCTCACAGGACAATGAATGCTTTCACTTTGCATCCTACCTGGTCGTCCACTCATCTCACTGCCTGCCCAAAACAGCTGATCGACGCCAGGACTTGGAGTTCAGCTTACAACTCGGTGGGACTGCGCTGTTCTGGAGCAGTCAGGGGGATCTGGCCTTAGGAAACGCTTTGCAAACACGGCCAGTTACAGCAAGATGACGGCGGGGTTTGGAGGACTGATGTGGGAGCACAGCCCTTTTTTTTTCACGGGGCACGGATTCATTCCCTTTTTGTGAGCAGGAGCAGACTCAGTGCAGCTGCTGAGGGCAAATGCGATCGCAGCGCGGGCTGCAGCTGTCCTGTTAAGAGCTGCGACGTGTGCCACATTTTTGCAAGTTGAGGCCATTTCTAACTTACAAGAAGTGCCGAAAAAAACCATTTTTTAGCTCCCTCGGCTCTAGGACACCGCCCCGGTGGAAACTCATCTTATTTGGTAAGAGTGCTGCCATGGCCTTTTTGGATAACCGTGCATAGTTTGTGGAGGAGATACAGTTTTACAGTCCTCTCACAGAGCGCTTGCTTTCTGAACTTCTCGTTCTGTGTCGCAGCCACCAGCTCCCGCATCGCCCGGTCCCCAGAAAATCCAGCTGTCCACGTGCAGGACAAAAGGCCGAGCTACATGGCAGAGACTCCATCATCAGCTGGTAAGTCAGCTGCGTAAGCTGTAATGTTGGCTAACTTGCAGTACATCTATTGAAAGAGTTAGGAGAAGTTAGGATGCAGTAGCTCTTGTGTTCCTAAGCCCTTAAGATGTGTTTAACACATGTTAATTTGTAAGCAAGCTGCTTCCGAGGAATCGGGATGCTGCCGCTGTAGAGTATTGATGCTGGTCTTTGCAGGGATGTTTCTGCAACAACCTGGTTTTCTCTGAGTACTTCTTTGCTATAAGCCTCTCTCGTACTCTCATTTGCTTTCTTTCACTTAGGAAGTGGTATTCATCTTCGAGGCATCCCTGGCCCGGTCTGCACTGGTCTGGCCCAAAGGTGGGAGCAGGAAGGGATGCAGCCCATTCATAAATGAATCACGCACATCTGAATGGAGCTGGCAGGGGGAAGCGATTTACATAAGCTCGTGTCATCGGGCGAGCATGCGCGCTACCCAAGTCCTGATGCGCACGGTAAGCGGAAGCTGACCCTGGACAGCTCTCATTTCCATAGCACCCTTGGGACCTACTCATTTACTGCAGCATCCCCTAATCATCATAGCCCCATGATCGTTACACAAGTGCAAACGCTCCCGGAGACATGTGCTGATTAGTCTCACTAGCGGCACCGAGCCCCCGTTCTTTCACCATCGTGGTGACCTGACAGATGTGCGTATCGCTGAAACCAGGGCTTTGCTTTGCACAACGTCAATCAATAAAGTGGAAATACAGCCGTTAACACCACTTACAGTTTCGCCTATTACTACAATGCCCTGCTTGTTCTGCGGGAAAGCAATTTTATGCTCCGCTGAAGCATGGTTAGCTTAGCCTTCAACTCACGGCAAATGCCAGATACTGCAAAATGTTACAATTATGGCAGCCCTGTCCTATATTTATTTATATGTATCAGCGCAACGCTTAATTTCATGGAGAGAGGGAACAGAGAGGCAACACCTCCAAACTTCGGAGAAGTGAAAAAGCTTCAGCTCGGGTTGATCTGCCATTATGGAGAGACCTTGGCTCCACGTCAACGCGGTTCCAAGAACATCTTTAACTTTAAACACATCGATAACTCCTTTGAAGTCATGGGAGCCCTTCGCACGCTCCAATACCTTGCTGAACGGAGCGCTATCTATATGCCTGGTAACAAATGGGTAATAAAGCCACTCGGACCTGAATCTTGTGCCATTAGATGCTGCTGCCTTTTATATAGCAGACTGCTTTCAGATGCGGGCACCCACATGGGTGTCCTTTCGTCCAGCTGGCCAGCTCATGAGAACAGGCCTTTTTAAAAATAAAAACAGCCCCCATTTTTATTCATATTTATTATTAACTGTGTGGGATCAGCATGTAAGAGTAAGGATGAAAGCCACTGAATGTGTCATTTGCAGTAGATTTCCCCTTTCCGTCTTTTCCTGGGTAAATCTCTGTCAAATCTGTTTTTGACAGATAAACTCTTCTCCGCTTATTGCTTCATAAAGGACAACTTGGTTGCATGTCCACTGATGTGGTTGCATGTCCACCACTGATGACCTAGTCCCTGTCGGTTGAATGCATGGAGCATTTGTGCCCATAAAGCTGAATAAAAATCTACTAGCCAGGGAGCCGTGGGAAGGGCATTTGCTTAGGACTTGGAAATGCAAGTTTTGTTTTTAGCACTGCCACAAACCAGCTACGTGGCCTTGGCTGAGACACTTAGCCGCTGCGAGGCTTAGTCCTTAGGAGCGGGCCTCAGGTTTTCCTCTATTTTTGAGTGCACCTACTTTCGGGAGCTGGACTGGAGGAGTAGGGAAGCGGTCACAGATTAGATCCGGCTGCCAATTTTTGAAAGAACAGCTTTCCTTTAAAAATACAGTGC